TAGAGGAAATGGATGGACTGAAAACCATAATAGACTTACTATGGACACTTTCTGCTTACTCTTACTGGCTAAAATAATCACGTGGCAACACCAGCTGAAGGCTCTGGGAAATGTAGTCTTTATTCTAATTGGCCATAAATCCAGCTTTAAAAAGGTTTAGGGTTTAGTGGAATTTTTTTTTGTTGTCCTTGGTGTTTACCTTTAAATTTTTAAAATGTGTATTTTCTATTACTGCTGTAACAAACTCCCACAAACTTAATGGCATAAAACACCCAATTATTTTCACTGTTCTTAAGTTCAAAATGCTAGGTCTAGCTAGTATTAAAGTTCTAATTCATTATTTCTTGAACTACTTTTTAATGTCTAACTTGTAGAAATTATTTTCCTCCCAATTTTGATAAAAACTGAAACCTGTGTTGAGATTACATAAGAAGTAAAATTTTCATGTATAATTTTTGTGGAGTAAGTAGATGATTCTATAGGAAAAAAATAATCTTTAAAAACGTGGGAGAAAACCCAGAATAAACATGAGAATATCTGTGGCAGCATTATTCATGATCATCAGAAAGGTGGATAAAACATAAATGACTTTCTCCTCATGAATGGATAAGCAAAATTGTATAACAATACAACGAAGTATTATCCATCAATGCAAAATAAATGATACTTTGCTAAACACACAGAACATTGAAAACGTGTGAAAGAAGCCATAGACATAAGGACACATATTGTTTTGTCCCAATTTCTGTGACGGGCCCGCAAGGAAGAAAGACAGGAGGCAGAAAGGCTGAGCAAGTAGAGTTTATTGCTCCTGAGCAGCAGCTGAGATGGAGACCCTAGAGTGGGGTCCGCAGCTACTGCCAGCACTTTAGGAGAAAAGGGTCTCTTATATAGATTCTAGGTTCAGATTCTAAAGGAGTGACTCATCGCTGTGACTCATGGGAGGCCCAGTTTGTCCCACCAGTATCTCCTGGATGTGAGGCCCAGTTAATTATCACCCTTAGATGCAAGGCCCAGTTTATTATTACCCTTATCTAGTCCCACCGATAGTTGTTGTGTTATCACCACCTGGTCACCCCCAACACATATTGAGTGATTCTATTTATGGAAATAGAGTAAGCAAATTTGTAGAGACAAAGTATATTCATGGTTGTCAGAGACATAGTAAAAAGATTGGGACCTGATTTTTAGATTTTTAGTACACGATTTTTTTTTTTAAATTATGATTTATTTATTTATGCATACAAGAACTGGGATGTAGTCCAGAGGTGCAGGGGTGAGATGATTCACCAGAGACAGAGTGGGGAGCAGAACAGACAGATGTACTGAAATACACTGCTAAGGGGAGCAGTGGGCCGGTCAGGAGAGGTCTGAGGTCTGCTGCACCACACGGGTCCGCTCCTTGGCTGGCTGGGGATTGCTTGATAGTGCTGTCTTTAACCCTTGCACCAGGGAGAACCTAGTACAAGATTTCTTTTTGAGGTGATAAAGTTGTTCTTTTAATCAGATGACTGTTGCACAACTCTGATATAAGGAAAGTTATGGAATTATGTACTTTAGAAGGGTGAAATTTACAGTAAGTGAATTATGTCTTAATAAGACTTTGTTATAGTCTATATATGGATTTTTTTCCCTAAGTGTTTCATTTGAGATGAATTATGTGATGAAAATGGCAAAATAGTGGTGCAATAAGGAAATGATTGACAATTTACTATGCACACTGGAGTTATGATAATTGGGAGTCTTTATTCGTGGCATATGTTAACTTTTCTCTAACCATTGTTACGTGCTGCTGTTCCTAACATTACTGTGGCACCCATTTTTTAAAAATGTAAAGAAGGAAAATTTCACACTCAAAGTGCATACTTTATTTCTCTTCATAATAATGAACCCTTTGACCAATATGTCAAATAACCATCTTGGCCAGCAACATTTCTTTTTTAGGGATTAAAACTTGCTGTTATATGATTATCTGGGGGTTTTGGTCAAGTTTTGGGTGCTTTTATACTTTTGGATAGAAGTACTTCATCAGATATATGGTTTATAAATATTTCTTCCAACTTTTCAGATTGCCTTTTTGCTCTAATCTTGATAGTGCCCTTTTATCTACTAAGTTTTTAATTTTAGTATAGTCCAGTTTATTTCCTTTTCTGCCCATGCTTTCTGTGTCATACCCAAGAAATAATTATGAAGCTTTCCTTCTACATTCTTCTAAGGTTTTTATTGCTTTAGATCTCACATTTAGGTCTTTGACCCACTTTGAGGTTATTTTTATTTTTATTTATTTATTTTTAAAGATCTGTTTATTTATACCTACAGAACTGGGTACAAGCCAGAGGTGCAGGCAGTGAGAGGATTCACCAGAGACAGAGTGGGAAGCAGAATAGGCAGACTGACTGAAATACACTGCTGAGGGGAACAGTGGGCAGGTCAGGAGAGGTCTGCCATACCGTGTGGGTCACCTCCCCCCCGCCCCCCAGCCAGGGAACAAACTCGTGCTGCAGTGGCTGCGATAGCTTCATGGTGCTGTGCTTTAACCTGTTGCACCACCAGTTACCATTGACCCAGTAATACTGGGCTTATGTATTACCAGGGAGGGCCCTGAGGTAATTTTTATATATGGTTCAACTTCATCTTTTAAGTATGGATCTTCAGTTTTCGCATCACTATTTGTACTGCCCATTCCAGTTTGAATGTTGAACTTTCTATTCTATTTCTCTGCAGATCTGTATTTGTGCCATTATTTTGATTATTGTAGCTTTGAGGTACATTTTGATATCTGGGACTATGAGGTCTCAAGCCTTGAGATTTTTTGTTCTTTTCTACACTGTTTTGGCTCTTTGGGGTTCCTTGATACTCTATAAAAATTAAGGGTAGATTTATTTTCTGGAAAAATGTCATTTCAGTTTGATAAGGATTTCACTAAAACTGTAGATTACCTTGGGTAGTATACATAGCCTGACAATATTAGATCTTTTACTATGAACACCAGATGTCTTCTCGTTTGTTTAATTCTTTCTGCAATATTTTACAGTTTCAGTGAACAAGTCTTTTGTCTCCATGGTTTATTCCTAAGTTTACATTCCTTTTTTATTTTTTTAAAGATTTATTTATTTATGCATACAAGAACTGTTGTAGGTCAGGTGCAGACACTAAGGATTCATGAGACAGAGTCGGGAGCAGAACAGGCAGATCCATGAAATACACTGCTGAGGGGGCAGTGGGTGAGACAGGAGAGGTCTGCTGCACCATGGGTGTGGGTCAGCTCCCTGGCCAGGGATTGAACTCATGCTTCAGTGGCTAGTGATAGCTTGATAGCTCTGAGACTTTAAAACCTGCACCACCAAGAAGGCACACTCCTTTAAAAAAATACATTGAGGTAATATTGGTTTAAGTGTTGTATATGATTCAAAATTAATAGGTTCGTACCTTTTTAGATGCATGTATCACATTACACCCACAGTCTTGCTCCATAGTCCACTGGGCCCACTCTTCTTTGCTGAACTTTTAATACTTTTTGATGCTATTATAAGTGGGATTATTTTTCTTAATTTCCTTCCCACCCCCTTTTTTTTTCAATCTGTAGCTGTTTTAAACTGAGTTATTTGTCTCTGTTGCTCAGTGGTCAGATTTAATTATATATTCTGGATGCAAATCCTTACTAGAGATGATTGCTAAAATATTTTCTATTACTTTTCAGGTTTTTCTAACTTTTTTACTAATTTGAACTTTTATATGAAGTATGAAAGTTCTTCTCCTAAAATAATACTTTTAAAAATAACAGGAGATTCTAAGATACTGATTTATTTTGTTGAAGTAGAAGCTTGACTGTTTTTAAAATGGGATAGTACATGTATACAGTGACTGCCTTAAAGTGTGCATATAGACACTGTAGAAAATACTGAAAAATATGTGAAAGAAGCATAAAATAAGCAACTGTATCATATAATTTTGCTTTCAAATCTCAAACTCATGCTTAGGAAAAATGATAAGCAAGAAATACACCAAAATGCATTTGCAGTCATATGGCATTTAGCCCATGAGTATTTTGTTCTTTCTGTCTGTTTTGTATACTTACTTAAGCATTTTTACAACATTTTTTTGTTTGTTTTTGCATAAAAAGAACGTAGGAAGTCTTACAGTCCAAAGGAAAAATGAAACTCCCAGGAAAACATACTTTGTGCCAGCAGGTGCCACCTTGTATGTGTCAGTGCGCTGTTCGACCAGATGTGAGAGTGTCTCTGTGCCTCCTCCTGCTTTAGCGCTGAACAGCAGGTGCTTCCCTTCTCTCTGGCTGCTGCACACACCAATCGAATTAGCCATTATATCTCCAATGTTCTCCTGCAGATTTTCTGCTTTTGTTTCTACTGCCTTATTGTATAGCTGCAGTGAACCAGAAATACTAGGCCTGTGTACATTAATAATTAGTCGACATTCCTAAAAGAGCAGTTAGTTACTTCGAGTAAATATGAATCGATTTAGATGATCGCCATTACTGAGTACTGACTTTAGAAGATCATTTGCTTCATTATAAACCACTCCTTTGCTGGTGGTATATCCTATCAATCTATATCCTTTTAAGAAATAAAGTTCTATTTTTTAAGAACATAAGAATTTATTAAAAATCTAGGTCTGTGTGGGAAGTCCTCCTCACAGGTTTTTAAAGCAATAATGTTGAATGAATGTACTATCTGCTCTACTTTAAATGACTTTCTTAGTTTTAAGAGCCAATTTAGCACTATAACCAGTTAACTTACTTTAAAAATCAATTATAAAAGTTATTCATGTAAATTGTAGATTGGCAACCATTTAGCCATCCACTATTACAATTGTTAAATTGTGGCATTCAATTCATATTTGTAGTTACTTAATAATTGTTTATTGTAGACATAATTGATACTATATAAAGGTTCCTTTTCTGCTGTGCTAATTAGAAATTTGGAAAAGGACTATAATATAATAAAATTTTAATAGCTAAAACTGATTTCTCTGCTTTTTAGGAATTGGTAATGCTTCTTTTAGAATATTATGCTGATGCTACTGTTGTTAATGGGAGTGGACAGACAGCAAAAGAAGTCACTCATGACAAAGAAATCAGAAACATGCTGGAAGGTAAGAAACATTATGAATATTAACTGAAAGTGCATTTACTTTGGTTATAACCAACACCCAAATTATAAGTAGAAATCACTTCTTAGATAACACCAAGCCTGTACTATAAAGATAACATCATTTAAAAATCATTGACTAGACACAAAATTCACTGAGTGTTCACATAACTTTCAAACTCTAATTCGACATTATAGCAAGTTTTAAAAATTTGATCAAATTACCAGCAGAATTGAAAGTAGAAAATTTGAAACATATGACAGATAGGCTTGCAGAAGCATGACTATGACAGAATGTGAAAGAGCAGAACACAAACTACAAATAACTGCATTAGTTGTTTGGTGTTAGGGAAGATGGCTCTGGCTGGCCCCATTGTCCTGAGGACTTCATTGTAGTCCAATAGCCAGTCATTTCTTGATGGATCAGCTACATTGTCATGAACTACAAAGATTAATTTACATTTAGGAAGACATATGAGTCTGCAATAACTGAAGAATTTCTCTAAAAAATTTAAGCCAAAATGATGCTCCACTGGAAGCCTCAGTGTTAAGATCAACCTCCAAGTGTTCAGCTATGCTATAATTATTTTTATGTATTATTTCTGTTGTGGAGGTTTTTTTTTTTCTGATGTATGAACTAAGAATATTGAATTAAAGTTGCAATTTCACACATACCCTTTTTCTGACGTTTGCATTACAGAGAAAAGCAGGATAAATTTGTATTGACAGAATATTTACTTGTTAATTTTATGGTTACTGTTTTTAACTGATTAAAAACCAAAATCTTCTTATTACTTTCCAATTGGCCTTGACAACTAAAATCTCATTTGTTCTCTGGTAATAGCAAAATAATGCTGCTCATCGAACAGCTTTAAACCAATGTCTGAATTCAATTTTGCATTTAAAATGAACCCTTTCATTTTCAATTAGCAAGCAAATAATACAAAAAATTTTTATGAGAGTCTGTATTATGTAATTTTTGGAAGATTGAACATGGTAGATAAGATCCCTGCTCTTTGATAAATAGTGACGTACTTGGGAGGGTGATATACTGTCTTTGATCCTGCCCTGTCATTTAACTGTAACAAGATGAGAACACAAAACTGAGATTTTCCCGACAGTCTGGAATGTTAGGTTAGCCTGAGAAGTTGACTTTTAATGGGACCAACTATGAGAAGATGGCTAATACTCTCCCAATTCCAAACTAAACACAAAGGGCTTAGTTGACTTTTTGGGTACTATGACCTGTCAGCTAACATGTCCATAGCCTGGGAAATAATAATAGAAAATTAGTTGAGTGATTCTGTTTGGTGAGATCACCTTAGTAAGTTATATCATTTGTGGATAGTTTATTAAATGGGTCAGGCTGCAAACCCACCAGGTCACAGGTAGACCAGAAATCACATCATAGGGTAATGCACAGGGTGTAAGAGATCTTTCACTCCAGAAAGACTTTTGTAGACACAATGAATTATATTAAAGCATCTGATATATTTGAAGAGCTGTTATATTGGAAGACAAATAATCTGATTGGTGCATACCAGAGCCAGTAGATAGAGTGCCATCTTTGAGTCCAATGTATTATAGTAAGACTTGAGTTACTTGAAAATGTTGAGTTTCCCTTGAGTTGGGAAAATTTCATGAATAATAAAATATGTACATATATGTCTTTTACATATACTCGTTAACATTTACTCCATCTGGTTTATCTTTTTATATATTGTTGAATGTTATTTCTCTTAATCTTTTGCTGAAATATTTGGAGCAATTTATAGACATCAATATTTTAGCACTAAATAGTTCAGTATGATTTTCCTAAGAACAAGGGTATTTTCTGATACATAATATTGCGATCAGTATCAGGAGATTTAACATGAGTATGGTATTTGCCTCATGTGCAATTCATATTCAAACTGCCAATTTCCGGATGTCTCTGTAACATGTTCCCCCTCAATCTAGGGTCCAGCCCAGAATCTGCATTTTTCTCTTCATATAGTTAGGTACACAGATGCATTCCTGATGGGAGTATTATGGAGCTGAAGTTGTATTCTTTGCCAGCGTATCACATGGAGCCACACAATGTCATTTTATACCTCTGCTGGTGAAGTTAACTCTTAGTACTTGGTTTTCCACTGTCAGGATACCGTTCCCTTTTGTAATTAAAAATCTGTGGGGAGAGAAGTTGAAGCCATACACACACAGAAATATGTATGTATAATGTGTTTAAACATACGTGTGTGTATATATGCTGATTAAACTTCTAATTGATGATTTTAGCATTCATTGAAAATTCTTGACCGAATCTCTGATTACTTCTAGCAATGGCAAATGGTGATTTTCTTTTAGTGAATCCAATTGTCCAGGTCTCCCTTGCATTTTAAGTGTTTTACTGTTTACTTTGTGCAGGTATAAAATTTTATTGGGATGGAGTTAGACTTCTTGATCTCTGAGATTCTTAGGGTATGGGATTCTGATTAAAGAGCTTATAATATTAATTTAAAATTTATAGGAAAAATTTTCATGGATTATTGCTCTGTAAATTACTGAGGTCTGAAATAATGGAGAAAAATGTATAGTATGCTGTTTTTATAAGCACAACACAGCTTTATAATCAGCACAGACATCACAAAATAGAACTTTCTAGCACGCTGTAAACCCTACCCACCATGGATTATTTGGTGAATCAACAAATTGAGTCAGCAGTTCTCTTGCAGTGTTCTGAGTGGACACAGGATGGGAAATGTCAAGGAACAAGTACAAAGTTTTCAACTCAAAATTCCTATTTTCTTTTATAAGCCTATACATTCTAGAAAGAAACACTAGTGTCCTTTATCTCCCTTCCTAAAGTCTAGAGCCAATATAATTAAGTGCTGTTTGACTATTCAATAAATATTTATTGGCCACATAAGCACTTTGCCAGACCCTGTCATAAATGCCTAGAACACCCAGGAAGTAAGCACTTGTACCTGACTGTGAGAATGATCCAGGGGGTAAATGACAGCTGAGGCTAACACAGCCAGTAATAAAAGTGTAGACACGAGGAAGAGACATGTTACTGCTCTCAGGATCTCAACCAAGTAGTGATAGAGCCAGGGAGAAAACAGGGCTAAGAACAAAGGTCCCAGCAAAAGACTTGAAGAACCTTACACAGAAGCTTGGTAGCATTCCTGCAAGGTAGAGAGAGGGAGTTTGGGTATAGAAATTAAAATGACAATAGAAGATAGTAGTTGTGGCAACTAGCCAATTCTAGCATTTTTCATTTTCAAGATATATGTTCCCTATAGTTGAAATGCAGTGGCCTGCATTGTAGTCTCAGTAACACCAGGTACATAGTAATGACTGGCTATTAATAAATGTTCATTTTTTCTCAGGAAACTTTTAATAGTTTCTCCTTTGCAGTCTTTACACGGGGGATTATACATGTACTTGAAGTGGGATTTCTTTTTTCTTTTTTTTAAAGATTTATTTATTTATGAATACAAGAACTGAGGTACAGGTCAGAGGTGCAGGGAGTGGGAGTATTCACCAGGGACAGAGTTGGAGCAGAACAGATCTACTGAAATACACTGCTGAGGGGAGCAGCTGGCCAACCAGGAGAGGTCTGCCACACCACATGGGGTCACCTCCCCAGCTGGAGATCGAACTCGTGCTGCAGTGGCTGTGGATAGCTTCACAGTGCTGTGCTTTAACCTGTTGTACCACCATGGAGGATCCCTGAAGTGGGATTTCTTAGCCTGTCCATGAAATTTGCTTTTCTGTAAATCAAAATAGAATTCAGATCTAGCAGAAATGAGATCTAATTACCTACTTCAATTACTTAAACAAATCAGATAGCTAGTTGCTCTTTCCTGCTAGTATGATTTGAGAAGCAGTGTAGAATATTAATAATGAACTCTGTAACCAACCAGCTTTTACACCTCCAGGCTCTGTTGGTTAGGTTCTTTAACCTTAGTTTCTTCACCTATAAATTCAGAATAATAATCTACTTCATAGAATTAAATAATACCTTTGAAGGCTGTAGTGAGTTAATATTTTAGAAGTGCTTTGAGTAGCATTTGGGACGTAAGTGCTACAGTATTTTTGGTAAGAAAACAAAGTATGTTACGGGAATTATGTAAGTATATGTGAAACTAAATACACGTATATGGTTCATATAGCTTCTTACCAATGCTAATTATTATTCCACATCTTACATTTCTGAGGTCAGAACTCATTCCCCACTTACCTACCTTTCTAAAGCAGATGTATAATAGTATTACCAAATGCAGAAATAATGCACAACTATTTGTGATGAGTATTGTTGTGAGTAGGATACTTAAAGTTCTCTAACTTGAAAACATTAATTTATACACATCCGAAAGGAAGTTAAAGTCTATAAACCTGAAATGTAAGGCAATGAGAATAGTAAAGTCTAATTGCATTTGAATTATGATTCAAAACATTGTGACTTAACTTGATCACTTTATTCTTTATGTATCTTTGCAATGAGAATTTGCTAATAGAATCCTGAATAGAAGTAGAGTAATAAAGTGATACCTACTTTCCTTTTGCAGCTGTAGAAAGGACTCAGCAAAGAAAGCTTGAAGAATTGCTCTTGGCTGCAGCAAGAGAAGGCAAAGCCACAGAACTCACAGCTCTGGTAAAAAGAACAAAACAAAACCAAACATTCATTATATTACACATTAATTTCTACTTAATGTTTAAGTTCATAGTCAAATTGTGAACCAGAATACTTGAGTTCATATAGTAAAATGAAAGTCCTTAAATATCTATAATACATTACATGGCAGTAGCTTCAGCAGGATATATTTTAAAGATTTTTCTTTGGATTTCTGATTTACAACCTCAGCCCTCTACTGCAAATTTATTGAGTACAGATCTTTTTCTTAAGGCAGGCCCTTAATGTAAAGACAGTCTCTTTTTTGGATTAAGTCCATTTAAAATTGAAGTAGGATAAATAGAATTCTATAAAGGAATAAGTTTTTCCAATTTTAAGCAGTACTTTCTGAAAGGTACACTATTCTTCTAGAAAGAACCATACACAGAAGAGACAATATTTTGGAATTTTGATGATGTGTCAGAATAGACTGAGGCTTTACCCATTTTTCTCCTGTTTGGAGACCTACTTTTCAGTTTCCATTTCCCACATAGTTTCATTAAACAGGAAGCTCTACATTTATTCTAAATTCAAGATTGAAGTATTACCATTGGCTTTAAAGTTATTTTAGTTCACTTACAAAGGTTTCTTTGGTTTCAAAGATTAGTGCCCAAAAAACATTTTTAAAACTTCATAAAATGAGACTACACAGAAGTCTTTTAAAGCAGTCAGTTGGGAATAACCAACTCAATAGAACTTTAACATTTACACAGTTAACATTTATGGTTTTAAGTCTTCTGAATGTCTACAGTAGATCAACTTGTAATTTTGCTGTAAGTGAAAATTGTGAAACCGGTAAGAGTTAGCAAATCTTAGTGAAATTTAATGTGCAGGGTGGGCTGGGTGGCTCTGGTGTAGTGTGTGGTGTCTGTTTTTAGACATTGTAGCCCCTTGGCCACCAGCTGGCTGCTCCAATGAGCAAGAAGTCACTTAAGAGTCCAGATGCCAAGGAACTCAGCTGTTCTTGGGCTCTGTGCAATGCGAGTCCACATGCCTCCCTCATGTGTTTTGTGGGGGAAAGTCTGTCTCTAATAAATGACTTAGTGTTGGATTTCTTCACTCCTTAGCTCAACAGGCCCAATCCTCCTGATGTCAACTGTTCGGATCAGTTAGGAAATACCCCCTTGCATTGTGCAGCTTACCGGGCTCATAAGCAGTGTGCCGTAAAGCTTCTAAGAAGTGGAGCAGACCCTAATATGAAGAATAAAAATGGTAAGCATATTATAAAAGCTGTTACTACTCATTTGGAAGTCATAAAGACAAGTCAATGCTAAGTAAATTTAAGTGTTTTGTTTTAATATCCAGTCTTTGTTAAACTGCATGGTTCCCATTTAATTTTGAAGTCAAGGCATATACGTACTTTCTCACACATAAAAAAGCTTATCTTATGCTTCCAGTTAACAGTCAAATGTTTAATAATGCCTGCTCCATCAGGAGGGCCTCATGATGACTACGTTCTCACCCTCAAGGAAAGACACATAAACACACACACACAATTAATTTTCATCTGTGGTAGTTATGTTCTATAAAGTCTACATTCTGAGCTCTGAATACTGAATCATTGCTCCAGCAGGAAGAGGGAGTTAGGTTCCTGTGAATCTTTATTTACAACATTTATATCACCTAATCGATACGTAATTTTTTGTTTGTGCTTTTTATTTTAAAACACTATTTAATGTATATTACTGATTCATTAACATTGAACTCTCTGCCAACAGCACGTAACTCAAGCCTAACAGAACTTAACTTTGTTAACACATTCTCCACATAGCACATGACAGCCTTAGGAGCACTAGACTGCACTGCAGCTCGGGGGCCAGTTTCTATAGGGACATCAAAAAAAGCAAAACATAAGAGAAAATGTAGCATTTGATAAACCATGATGAGGACACTTGTTTATAGAATGAGAGCTGAAACCAGCCAGTCGAGCACCACCTCATTCAGCTCAATTGGAAGCTTATTCAATGCATGTATCAGATGACTAATGTTTTGCACCAGTCTGGACACACTTGCAGATAACAAAGAATTGCTAAAAATGTTTATTTGGAGGTTAGAAGTAAATATTGGTAACAGGCAAATTTGCAAATATGGAACCCAGAATTATTATCTACTCTATATGCACATTAGCAAAGATGGAATTATGGAACCAAAGAGGAACTGCAAAAGATGTCCTACGTATTCAAAGGGGGAACATTATCAAAGGATCTTAGATGTCACTGTTTGGGGTATGTAGATACTTACCACCTACCTGGGTTAGAACTCATGAGTAGTCTCATGAGACCCTGTGTTCACCTCTGTCATAGTCTAGTGCTACTCCATGGTAATTACTGGCTTATGTAGCTGTGTCCCATGAGACAGTCCCTAAGCAGATGGCTAATATTTTACTTTCTAGTTTGCCCAGCACCTAGTAATACGTGATGTAATGAATAGCACATGATACTTCTACACAATGCATGTTTGTTGAAGGTGTGGGGTAATAAGAAATACCTTTATGAAGGAATAGGCATTTGATGTGACCTCTGAAATCCTAGTAGGATTGAAGATCTTTTCATGTCTAAGTACTTCTGTTGCTAACCCACTGAGGGGCGCGCTGACTGCTACATTTGCCCAAACAAACATAGGAGACTCCAAGATGCGAAAGAATGAAGCAGGAGCCTGGGTCCTGGAGTCCAAAGTCTGTTTATTAGGACTGCCCATGGGTATATATAGGGTTTGTATGTGCAGGGAAAAACAGGAAATGTGTCCTACACAGGAAGTAGGGTGCATGTTTGTACTGGATCTAGGGCTTCTTGTAGCTTCTACTTGAAACAAAGTAGTGGGTTACAGCTATTTGCAGGACAGAGTGCACCGTGCTCTGCTGACCTGTTGGTTGGCCTTACTGGGGAGTGTGCTCACCCATGTGCAACATTAGCCAGGGCGGACAGGTGCATTTGAGGTCCTGCAGTTAGCTGTATACTTCAGTTTGTTTCTAACACAAATCTCTTCCCTGTGTTTTTTGTTTTAAAAATGTAAACAGAGTACCATTATCATCCACTATGAATTTAATATGAAATTTGGGAAAGGGTGTACTAAAGGGAAGAAAGATTATAAAAAAATGGTGTTAAAGTGAAAAAGGAGACAAGTTCAGGTAACAGTCTACATTCAAGTAGATAAAGGGGAACAGTGCTGGGTAATCATGTAAATGGGAGTTAGACTGTGGAAAGCCTGGAAATGCCAGTCTAATTTACCCCTTAATTTGCTTTAAGATTAATGTGGTCACAGTTTTTCAGATAGATTGTAGCAGGCCAAGACTGAAGAGAGAGTTAATTAGGATTTGAACTTTATTGACAGAGGGAAGCAGAAACAATGAAAATTCATTCTAGAATTTTCTGCTTCTCCTTTATTTCCAAACTATTTGAAGCTTTCTGGTTCACCAGGCTGTTCTTGTTCTTTATGTTCTTCTTTGTGCCAGGAATGTGCTTTTCCTGCTCGTTCACCTAATAAGCTCTAGTCTCACGTCAAAAGTTAGCTCAATCTCTGATGGAGAGCTTCTTGGGGCATGTAGATACTTATTCCCTGGAATAAGTTTGAATTTAGAAGAAACATTAAAAAGAAATTATAGGATGGAGAAGGGAAAGCACTCAGTAGATGTGAGGAAAATACCAATTCCAAGGAAGCCGAAGGCAGAGATAACACAAAGAGTAAATGTTAGGATCTGACTGAAAAAAATGCTGCATAAGCCAGTGATCAGGGCTGAGTGGTCCTTTCTCCAAGAACAGTTTTTACTGGGCAAAAGATAGTTCAAGTAGGAATGACAAGAAACTGAGGCAACACACTTTTTCCCAATTTTTAGTACTTGAGAAGGAATGACTCCATGGAGCATTTTTTGGCAAAGGGAAAATTAAATCTGTTTAAAGTCAAGGAGGCTCAACACAATAGAATCTTGACCCTTAATTCTGACAAAGTATAACTTTTTTAAAGGCAATAATTTGGCAACAGGAAGAAAAAGGATCATGTTTGATAAAAGATGATTAGGAGGCAATGAGAAAAACTCTCACAGACACAGCCAGAAATGTTTTACCAGCTGTCTATATATCCCTTCCCTCAGTTGACAAATACAATTGATTTGTCTTATCTTGGGACAGGGTAGTGTGTAAGGAAATTTTATGTGGATCAGGAGAGTCCAAAAATCAACATTATACACACACATAAAATTTCTATTTTTGAAAGACATCAAAGCAATCAACAATGGAGAAGGGCATTTTTTTATTTTTTTAAAGATTTGAAGATTTTTCTCTATGCATTTTTTTAGATTTATTTATTTATATAGAACTGGGGTGTAGGCCGGAGATGCAGAGGGTGAGAGGATTCACCAGAGAAAGAGCAGGGAGCAGAACAGCAGATCGGGGAGGTACGCTGCTGAGGGGAGCAGCAGGTGGGTCAGGAGAGGTCTGCCACGCCATGTGGATCTCCTCCAGGGCAGGCGGGGATCGAACCCATGCAGAAGTAGCTTAAGCTACTTAGTACTGTGCTTTAACCCCCTGGCCACCAGGGAGGGCCTATTTATGCATATTTTATGAAGATCTTTGGTCAGCTTGCTAGCTTTATCTTTGTCTTTACCCTTTGTTTAGTTTCTTTGTTTTCCACATATAAGTGAAACTGTCTATTTCTTTCCTCTTCTCAAAACAGTGAACCATTAATGAGCTTTTAACCCTATACTACAAATGTAAATTAGATGGATGACAGAGATAAAAGGATTAAAGCCATAAAAATTACAAGAAAGGCCCTCCCTGGTGGCGCAGCGGGTTAAAGCACAGCACTGAGAAGCTAAAGCCACTTCCGCATGAGTTCGATCCCCGCCTGCCCTGGAG